GTGTGTGTGTGTGTGTGTGTGTGTGTGTGTGTGGTAATAACATTACGGCTCCTCGGGCCTCATGTGAATTACATTTGCAACAGAGGTCTGCTTCTGTGCTGGGTCGCAGCCCGGGAAGATCCTCAGACAGAAACACGCTAAAGAGCAGAGAAGTCAATGAAGACGAGTCAGCTTTTATTAAAACGGATCACTTTGTTTCAAGCAAATGGGGGGAAATAAGTGAATTTTCCCCAATAAAGCTTGACTTTATTTGGCACTTAATCTGGCTTGACAGACTAAATTAGCAGTAGATTAAAACAAGGTATTTATGTTTGAACTTCCATAATATTACAAACGCATCATTAATTGAGGATGCAGGAAATTCTAAGTGACATTATCAGGCCAATTCACTATAATTTTGGTAAATTTGATGCAATTTTGTTGCCCTTACTGCCCACTATTAATGAACATTTGAACTTTCAGACATTGCTCCTGCTCCAAAACTGCAAATCTGCACGGAGTAGGTGGGAAATGGGAAGATAAAATGTAAATATTTTTGATAAAATGAGCATAGCAGATGATAATTTAGTTTTCCTGGTTGATCAGCAACTTCAGAATCTATGCTAGCATGCTAATGTGTAGCATCCATGTTTTTGTCTGTAAACACAGCGTGATGCACTGCAAACACTGTCCACTTAGCCATGTTTTAAAATCTTATATCCAGCCAAAAAGTCTTTTTCATCTTGTTTTGAGACTGATTTACTAAACAAGAATTGACTGTGTAAGAATAATAATTTTGTTTTCCGATGTGTGAGATTATTTATCTTGTTAGCCTGAAAATTTGACTCAAATTAAGTCAAAAATTTCTGCCAATGGAGTAAGAAAATTTTACTTGGTAAGATTCTTGAAATACTTGATTTGACTCAATTTTTTCTTATTTCAAGAATCTTACCAAGTAAAATTTTCTTACTCCATTGGCAAAAAATTTTCACTTAATTTGAGTGAAATTTTCAGGCTAACAAGACAAATAATCTCACACATTCTAAAAACAAGATGATTATTCTTACACAATCAATTCTTGTTTAGTAAATCAGTCTCAAAACAAGATCAAAAAGACTTTTTGACTGGATATAAGGTTTTAAAACTTTGTAAGATGGACAGTTTTTGCAGTGTGCACGTGACTTCTGTGCATGCAGGTCGCTTCAGGGCTGTGAACCGCTCACATTTAAATTATAAACCATCACACACAAAAAAAATTWAAAAAATAGGAATTGAGCAATAAATTTTCAGTGTGAACGTCGTTTKACTTGCAGGAAAAACTGTCTTTCTGAGTGAAAGTAAATCATGAGTCTCTCTGGAGAAAACAGATTAGTCTTGTTGTCTTTAATTTACAAAATTTAAACCATCTTCTGTTTGTTAGTTGTCCTTTAAAAGCAACATCAGCAATAATCCATCATTTGCCGCTGGCTTCCGAAAAAGCAATTTATCAGCGGCAGATGTCACTAATTAAATCTATAAACCAATTAGAGACCACACAGAACAGGAAAAAAAATATGTAAAATGTGTTTCCAATTCTAGCTAGTGGAAAAATTTGGCTTGGAYCAGTTTATTGAAAACATTTATGCTTTATCGTTCATCCCTGTTCCTCTCTTTATCACTAATTATTTGAAGTGTCTAGTATTTGCTTTAGTATTAGAATAAAATTTCAGATTTTTGTTTAGCAACTCTTACTGACAAAGAAATAAAGTAAAAGGGTTACAACATGGAGTTAAATCTCATACATGCATTGCAAATCAATGCATACAAAAATAATGAACGCAGGGTGTTTTTCTCTGTTGCTACCTCAAGTTTAATGGGTATCATATGGATATGACAATGTTGAGTGACTGTATAAACAATATAGACAACAATAAAAATTAAGTGCTTTAATTATAATTATCCACTTGTTTATATATTTATTAAAAATACATCACACAGGTTAAGATCCCTCTTCTCTGGACTTGCCATTCCTAACAAACAAACTGTGTTTCTTATTACATTTACTTCCTGTTACATAAACCACAAAAAGTCACAAACATCACACACATACACACACACACTGCTCCCAGATATAATGGCTGTGCCTGGAGCGTGCAATAGAAAGAAAAGAAACAGTGGGAAGTCCTTTTATGCGCTTCTATATTTTTCATTTTTCTACAAACTAACAAGCTCCAGGAGGTATGAAAAGGTATGAGAAAAATATGGAGAACATGAAGTCAGAGGCAAATCAAACTGTGAGACTAAAAATGAGGTGAAGGAC